CGCCGCTCTGCGCGCCAGGGTCCTGGTCGACAAGCACAGGGGGCGCATTAGGCGCAGATGGGCAGAGACTCACCACGAGCCTGGTAAGACGAAAGACACGCACAGCGAGACAGCCGGGAGGAGAAAGGGAGAATGAGAGAAGGGAGAAGGAGAGAGATTGAAACAAGCTCGCATTGTGTGCTCAATGTTTGGCTTATCTGTGTGTGTTGTGTGCAGACATAGAGATGTCTCAGTGTAGCGATTGGGAGGAGCTCCTCCGCTATGAGCAGAACTACCCCCTGCCCACCACTACGGGGCCTCTCTGGAGAATGAGAGTGCTCCAGGCCACACCCACCACTCAGAAAATCAGAAGGGTAACCCACCTCACTCGGACACACATTTGCGGACGATCCCTTGCACCATCGCTGCGTCTGGTGCTGGTGTGTCTTGATGTGCGCAGGGTTCGGTGCTGTACCCATCGTACCGGACGTGGATCGTAGGCATCTTCCACCACCTCATCATGGACGGCCTGGCGCGGCAGAACTTCTGGAAGGACTTCCTCAACACCATCTACACCCTCGCCCAGCGCCGCAACCCCCACCGCACCTCCCCTCCCCCTCTGCACATGTTCGCCTCCGCGTCGACCATCGCATCGCTGGAATCGCTCCCTGAACTCCCCTCGATGGCCGACAACACCTTCATGGGGGGGCCCGTGAGTGAGTCGCTGCCGCCGCCGGTGTCGTCCGTGATGCCTGGGACGCTTTTGGACGCCCTGACGAAGCCGATCTACGCAGTGAGTGACGAGGTGGCCTTCCAGATCGGCAAGGGCCTGACGATGTTCTTCCGCAAGCTGATGGTCAAGAAGAGGAACCCCTTCTCCGTCATGTACCCCGCTGAGCACTACAGGGACAGGCAGCAGGTGAGGCGAGTGAAGTGAAGCGAGGGACGGAGGGAGGGAGAGGGGGGGAAGGGGGGTCACAACGCATTAGCATCCGTCCATTCTCTTCCTGTGTGTGTTGTGTAGGCTGCGCACACATCGATAGTGCCTCTGTTGTTCGATCCGTCGACGACCAAGAAGTTCATCCAGACGTGCAAGCAGCACAACATCCCCCTCAACTCGGTGCTGACCGCCACGGCCGCCTCTGCTGCCGCCCAGCTGATCGGCAAGGAGGACCAGAAGACCTCCCTCTACACCACCCAGGCCATCTCCACACGCAGGTGGATGCAGAAGGCCATAAAGGACAAGCCGCCCCCCCTTCGCACCGAGAGCAAGACGTCGACCAACCCCACGCCCCCTCCCTCCCCCCTCCCGCCCTCACACTCGCCCCCCTCGCCCCCCCTCCTGCCCATCGACAAGCAGGACAGCCACCCGGACGTCCTCAGCCACCTCAGCCCATCGCTGCTCAGCCCCTCGTCGTGCAGGGGCGGTCTCGGCGCCCCTCCCCGCATCCCCGCCCTCGCCCCTGCCGTTGCCGACGTCAAGAGCGACAAGCCGGCCCCCAAGGCCGACGGGCTGCCGCGTCTGGGGTGCTTCACCTGTCTGATGGGCCTGGGTCTGGAGGTGCCGGCCCACTCGACCCGCGCTGACCATTTCTGGCAGTTTGCGTCGACGGTCAACACGAGCATCCACAGCAAGGTGGACCGGCCGACCCCGACCAACGCATGCTCCGACTGGGACGTGGTGACCAAGTTCCTCAAGAACAACATGGAGAGCGAGCGGCTGGACAACATGCTCGAGCTCTTGGCCCCCAAGCCACGCCCTTCGGTGTTCCTCATCTCGGTACGCGAGGAAACACACACGCACCCCTCCATCCCTCGCAACATTGATGTGTGTGTTGTGATTTTCAGAATACGGGCAACTGGGACACGACGGATCTGCGCAAGGGCAACGGCGCGTCGGCTCGCGGCCCCCGCAAGCCGACCATGCTGGCCGGGCTGTCGCGCTACCCCCGCACCCCCACCATCGTCCACACGTCGATCGACTCGCCTCGGTCGATCCTGCACGAGCACGTCGACAACATGGACAGCGGCAGTGACAGCGACAGCGAGGTGAGGGGCGGCGGCGACTTCGAGATGGAGATCGAGAGCAGCTGGTCGTGCGTGAGCCAGCACGGCGTGGGCAACAACCTCTTCTCGCACAACCTGGTCACCATCTCGGGCAGACTCAACTGGTCGCTGCAGGTGAGCAACGGACACACTACACACACCCGTTTTGTTCTGTACCCGCACTTCCTCCTCTTCTCTTTCTCTTTCTCGCTCTGTGTGTTGTTCAGTATGCCTCCAACTTTGTGTCCCGTTCGCTGGCCCAGAAGTACGCCAAGACGATCCATGACACCATCATGAAGCTGATCGACCTGGACACCGAGGCCGAGGAGGGCTTCCCCGCCTTCCTGATGACCAGGAACAAGGCGCTCGCGGGCGACACCGGCACCACACCCATGCACAGGGCGTGAGGGGCGACCGAGGGATGGCCGGGATGATGGTGGTAGTGTGTAAGACGGGGCGGCTGTCGGTGGGAGCGGGGGTTTTCGTGCGTGGCGTGATGGGGTGTGGTGTGGTGTGGTGTGTGTTGGCTGTGTAGCAGAAGACAATGAATGACGGGTGGGTGATGCTTTCTTTGTATGGGTTTCCTCCTTCTCTTCTCTCCACTTGCTTGCTGCTTCCTTCCTACCTTCCCCCTGTATCTATCTATCTACTGCTCTGTACCTACCTACCTACATACTTGCTTGTCTGCCTTTCTGTCTGTCTGTCTGCAAATGTCCGACGGTTCCGCGCATTACTCGTTTGCCTGCCTGTCTGTATGTCTGTGCGCGCGTGGGTGCGGGGGCAGGGGCAGGGGCAGGGGCCAGCCGAAGACCGCCACCGATCGACCAACCGACCACACCCATTTCGTCCCATGTACAGGGGGGCACAGCACGGGGGGGGGGAGGATAGGGGAGGGGAGGGGGTGGCACCGACACAGACATACACACATGCACACAAACCGATGGATGGATGGATGAATGGATGGATGGATGCGTGAAGGGATCGTTTTTCTATACCCTGGCTAGCTGTTGCGTAGGTGGGTATCGCGCGATGACACCTTCCATCATCTGATGGATGGGTGGATGGCTGCTCGATGGACGATGGCTTTGTCGTGTGAGGGGAGGGGAGGGGTGGTGTGGTGTGGTGTGAGGGATGGATTTGATGACCGACCAGACACTTTTTTGTTTGGCATAGGTAGGCAGGCTAGCTAGCTGGCTGGTAGGTAGACACTCACTCACACACTCACTCACTGCATGCGTGCGTGCGTGACACACCCTATCGTTGGTCGCATGCGTCAAGATGGATGGATGGATGGCTGCGTGTTTCGTGCCGTTGATGTGGCTGTGGTGTGTCGTGAGGTGCCTTTTCCGCCTTTCCTTTTTTTAGGGGGGGTTGTGTTCTCTGCGTGTGTGGTGTGTTGCATTGTATTGCTTTTCGCTCGCTCGTTCGTCGTCTTTCGTTTGTTCGTCGCCGGCTTTTCCAGCTGGGCAATGTTTCTCCTCCCCATCCACGGTGGCTGCCGTTGTTTTTTACTGGCCACGATGGATGCTGAGGTGAGATGACCGTTGTACGTTGCGCGTTTCTTACATTACATACGTATGTGTTGTGAATTGATGGATGGATGGATGTGTGTGTCTTTGCTTTTTATGTGATATGTCGTGATGTGACGTGGAATGGCGTGATGGAAACTCACCCTGTCTTGTCTTGTTCATTATGATGTTCCGGTTGTGCACACGGACTCACTGTCACACTAACACCCTCTCTGACACTCTCTCTCCCTCACTAAGCCAAGGTCGCTACTCCAACCTGAGGCGGTTTTGCATCTCTTCGTGCTTACGTATCGAGCCGAGCCGAGCCAGCCCTGGTGGCCCACCGACCCACCACCCACTCCCTCCCTCCCTCGCTCATTCGGTCAATTCGTCACTTGCTGTTGCGTTGCTGCCTGTGTGCCCATGCGTCTTAGCTGCAAAGGCAGACAGACAATCAAACAGACAGACCGGCAGACAGGCAGACGAGGATCGCAGCTAGTGCAGCTAGTTGGCCGTTCTTACTGGTAGGTAGGTAGTTGGTCTTATTTGTCAGGAATTAGCCAGGCCAGCAACCGGTTTTACGGTTACCGGTAGGTAGTGAACAGCACGGACAATGACCAGCCAGAAAGAATACCTACCAAGTACCAGTTGGTGGGCCGGGCCAGGGAGAAGGGAGAGATGGGGATTGGCTCAGCTGACTCTCTGTTGTTGCACGTTCCTTCTCACCCATCTCTGTCTGGAGGTTTTGATCTAGTGTCTCTTGTTGTTTCTCGAGGCTTTTCCACCCTCACCGCGCACACTCTCTCTATCTGCCGGTTCTCTCAGAGGACAGCGACACAGCCAGAATGTCCCGTGTTGTTGTGGTCTTTTTTGCCTACACGCATGCCGTGCCTTTGACGCCTTGTCTGGTGACGGGTCGATAGATGGATTCATACCAATTCGCCGTTTGGCTGGCCGGTGTGGTGCGATCGACATGCATACACACGGCCGGCCGTCTCCCTCTCCCTCTCCCTCTCCCTCTGTATCTGTGTCTGTGTATTGTGTGTGCTTTGTTACGGCTCCTTTATCCATCCATCCATCCATTCATTCCCCTCTCCCCCTACGCATACATGCATACGTACAGTGGCTCGTTAGTGCCACACACGTCATTCATTCATTGATTGATGACATGACGCCATCAATGGGATTTAATGGGCGGCTGGCTCGTCGGTCAGGTTACGTGGGAGAAAGGGGAGAGGAAGGAGGGAGGGAGGGAGGGAGGGAAGGGGATGCACGCCACCGCATACAAACACGATGTGGTTTTTCAGATCGGTGTGGTCGTGAGGTGTGGTTTGCACTTGCTGGCTTCACAGTCGTGCGTGTGGGTGTGCGTGTCTGCTATCCACAGTTGTGACGCCTTTTCGTCTCGACACATCAGTTGGGGCGAAATGCCGTCACCAATGGGTGTGGCAGACACGCACAGTCGCACGCCGTGGTAGCGCTCGGGCTCCTGGTGTGGGTGATGGGGGATACGTCGGCCCATTCGACGCCTTCTCATTGGGTGGCTGGCGGGGGGGCTGCCTGCCTGCCCGCCTGCCTGCCTGGCCGCTGCGTCTGTTGTCTCTCTCTCTCTGTGTCATTCGAACCTCTTCTCGTCTGTATTTATTTCCGCTTTGCTCTCTCGGTTGGCTGGTGTGTCGATACCTACGTCGGTGCATTGACAGTAAGGAAGGGGCGGTTTTTTCATGGGTAATTTTCCATTGAGTATCTTGATAATGTTATTGTCTAATCTCTCTACTACTCGATCTGCGTATTGTCAGTAACGGTCCGGTGCATTTAGACAGGCAGGCAGGCAGGCGGGCAACAGCTGAGCGAGCGAAACAGATAGACAGACAGACCATGCATACATACTCATAGAGTGCAGTCAGTGTACCAGCTATTGTTCATACCTGATGGTGGCTGGCTGGCTGGCTGTCTTTGGGCCTCTTTTTCCATTCTCTCCTCCTTCTATCCACCCCACCCACCCACCGACCCACCCACCCACTCATGTCGGCGTATTTGTGAAATGCTCACCCTCGCTCTCTCTGCATGCTTCTCGCACCTCTCTCTCTCTACACCCTTTTCAGGGTCCGTAGTCGCAGGCTTGCCTCTCTCTCACTCTGTGTCTTGCGTCTGTCTCATCATCTCCTGGTGTGTATCTAACACCTTCTGCTGTGTGTGTGTGTGTGTGTGTGTGGATGTGGCCATGTTTTCAACTCCCGGCGTGTTGATGTGAGCTCTTTGCCTTTGCCTTCGCCTTTGTCCGTGTCCGTGTGGTCAGTGTGTGAGTGTGCGTATGTGTATGTGTGTCTTTTCGCCCGCTGTGCTCTCCTCACTACTGGCATTTGTGCATTCATTCATGTATGAGCAAGACGGACAGACAGAATGGGGTTGTTCTCACCGACACACGGTACCACGGATGTGTGTGTGAGGTGAGAGAGAGAAAGAGACGAGAGAGAGGGATGGACGGACGGATGGATGGATAAGGTGATTTGAACGATCTCGTATGTATGGCTTATTTTTTACCTGTATGTCTGTCTGTGCGAGTGTCTATCGACTCCCGTGTCTGTCTGGTCATGTTGTAAAGTGCATTTATGTGTGTGGGTCTCTCTGTGTGTGTGACACATGAACGAGGGACGAGGGCCAAGCGGGAGCTGCCCGCCAATTTCGTCTTTCGGCAGCGACGTATGGCAGCCGGCCAGCGACTCTGTGCGCGTGTGCGTGGGTGGGTGGCTGCTGGCCGGCCGTAGAAAGAAAGATGGACACTCACGCGCACACACACGCACAGAAACGGACTCACCCACACAGAGGGGAGGGACACAAGACACACACGCACAGCGGATGACCCAGACTCACTCACTCACCACCCATGCACGTAAGAGTCAAGGAGAGAGGAAGGGGAGGCGATGAGCTCTCGGGTTCAGATAAGATCGATCGCTGCCCAGTGTGTGTATATGCACGTTCATTCATTCACTCACGTGAACATGAATGAATGAATGTGTGTGTATTTTTGTGTCTGCGGGCTCTGTGGTGTGTCGGTGATGGGGGGCGTGGTCGCATCATTGCGGCTGGCCGCGAAGGGGGAGGGTTGGTATACGTAGGGCGTTGCGTGTCTCTGTCGATGGATTCGTGCTGGGTGGGTGGGGCATTGGGGTGGGTGTGGGTATATATAATATATGCGTGTGTGTGTCGTGTCTGCTATTGGTTCGTTGGTTCATGGTTTTGCATTGCATTGCATGCATGTCCTTGCTATCCTCCTCTCTGCCAGACTGGACAGCACTGTGCTGGGTGCGAGTGCATGCATACGCTCACCAACTCACTCGTGGTAACCTCCCTGCCTCACTCTCTCCTCCTTCACTGTCGCTTGGGCGCTCGCTGACAAATGGGCTGGCTAATGGTGCGTACGTGCGTTTATCTGTGTGGGGGAAAGACCAACACGTCGCATGGATAGTGACCATCATGGTGTGCCGTGCCTTCCGACGGACAACGTCCAAGAGGTGACGACTGGATGAGACGCGACAGTCGACATAGTGGTGGGTGGATGCGTGTGGTTTGCTTGCTTTATTCGTCAACCATTCGAATCAAACACGAACGCATGTACATCTCCAGTCTTCTTGTCGCTTAGAGGAGAAAGGGAGGGTTTACTGTTATGGGCTAGGGCAGCATCGCACGAAAACACCCCTCCCTCTCCCTCCTTCCCTCCCTACCATTCTCTCCCCTCCCTCCCTCCCCTCTATCCCTCCCTCAGCATTCTTGACCGCAGATCTTCACTTCTCGTCTTACATTTCGTCTGTTTGCCTGCGACCAAGACTCTCAGTTAGTTCCCGTCAGCATTCATGGCTCTCTTCTCGCGCCTGACACTGGTTGTCCTCGCCTCTCTGCTGGTGGCGGTGTGGATGCCCTCAGCCACCATGGCGGGCAAGGCACCCTGCACCACAACTGCTGCTCCCACTACTGCTGACAATGGCCTGGCGACTGTGGATGAGCTGGACGAGGAGGACTTCCTGGTCTATGCCAACGATGCCCACGTGGTCGATGCCGACGATGAGGACGAGGATGACGAGGCTGCGACGTCGGGCAGCCTGCGTGCACTGGGTAAGCAACCGACCACAACGCACCCAGTGACAGGGGGCATCATCTCGATTCCTCCCTTCTGTGTGGTGTGTGGTGTGCAGGCCACAAGTGCGAGGACGACTCCGACTGTTCCCATGGCAAATACTGCAAGAAGAAGTGGGGGAAGAAATGGGGGAAATGTAAGTGGGACAGACAGGCAGACAGGCAGACAGGCAGGGAGACAGTCTGACGGCGAATCCACCCTTTACTTATGTTGCTTTCAGGCAAGCACAAGCACCACAAGAAGTGCAAGCACGACTCCGAGTGCTTCCCTGGCTATTATTGCAAGAAGAAGTGGTGGGGGGGGAAATGTAAGTGCGGCGGCAAGGCAAGATGTCCACACCAACACACGCGCCAACCTCCTTTGATATGTACACACACGAATTTGTGTCCCATTTCTCTTCCTCCTTTCATTCAGGCAAGAAGCACTGAGCCGCCCGTCTGATTGATCCACACCCTGGCTGCACTTCACTCACTTTCCCTCACTCGTCTGCCTGTGATGCGATGTCACGTCGTCATGTGATGTGATGTGTTGTGCTGTGATGTGTGTGCGTCACTCACTGTTCTTTGATTAAACGTGTTGTTTGTACTGAGTCATGTCCATCACTGACTAGTCGACTGGCGTGTTGCGTGTGGCGCTCTGCCCTTTGCCTGTCTGTGTACTGTGTTGTGTTGTGTGTGACTTCACTCACCATGTAAATAGACACACGAGTGGGGGAAGTGGGGAAGGGAACAGGGGCTGGGAACACCGGGTTGATATCATGGGTGTGGTGTGCTTGTGTGCTGTCTGGACTGAGAGAGGGGTGGATATTGCCTGGTGTGGGTGTGGGTGTGGATGCGGTGGGCATGATATCATTATGGCCACCACATGCATACCCACACATTCGTCACATACGGTCATTTGGCTGTCACGCACATGTGTGTGTTGGTAGTGCCCTGTCTGTCTGTCTGTCTGCAAAGTTCGCAGTGCACCTGTGCCCTTTGTTGTACATTTGTAGTGGATTTCTGCTCCGTGTGGGAGGGGAGGGCCGTAGTGAGTTTCTGTTCATCGCATGACTGACATGCTGGGGCGACACCTGGGGGACACGAAGGAACGGACACTTCACCATGAAGTCACCACAAATACGTAACGGCCTCGCTCATCGTCCACCTCAAGTTGTTGTCACGTGAATGTGTGAACCGACAAAAGATCAACCAAGTATCCCACCCCACCCTTCCCGGCCCAGCCCCTGCCCTGGTGGGGTGGAGAGGTGTCCCAGCCCCTGCCCTCCCCTGCAGAGATCCACTGCAGACAAAAGCTGCGGCTGGACCTGCCGACACAGCAAAGAGCTACATGGGCTGAGGAGGAGGAGGGAAAGGCATGGAGGGAGAGAGACGTCTGTTTGGTTTGACGGATTGTGACAATAAACCCGGCGCCTCGGGATGATTCGCTATCACGGTGTCTCTCTATTGTCCCTCGCTATGATCATGAGACACGTATCAGATCCCTCACAGGATAGAGAAGAGGCGATGGATCCGATCCACCCCCTGACTGATGTTGACTCACTCGCCCGTCTGCCTGTCTGATGCGCATATTGTGCTGTGCGCGTCGCGTCGATCACTGTCCTTTCATGGAACAGGCGATGGATGGATGGAACGACAGCATGGGCCATCCATCTGTGTGTGTACATATGCATGCGTACGTACGTACATGTCCGGCCAAGTTTGTATGTGAGTATTGTCAAGCCGCCTCAGTGCGCGAATTTCGTTCTCATTTGGAAATCTCATGTCATATCATTCACTTGACGTATGTATGTGTGGTGCGCATGTGTCTCTCGCCGGTCTCTTGTCCCTCCCATCCCACCCCACCCCAACCCACCATCCCATGTGTAATATGTACACATGCACAGATCAGCGTGCAGTGCAGTGCAGTCACTTGCTATCGACAAATTTATACAGCCAATGATCAGATCACAGCACACACGCATACACAGACGACAACAAGCCGCTCAGCTCACGTCGGGTCGCGTCAGAACTCGGTGCACCGACGGCTTGGCAAAGCACCAACATGAACACAGCACTAACGTACGAGTGTATGCACAATGAGAGCTATTCAGAGAGAGACAGACAGAGAGACAGACAGAGAGAGAGCTGTTTCATTCACACACGACGAAGGGCAGATGCAGCCGACTAGGCTGCGCAAAACAGTGAGTGGCAGTCAGTGGCGCGGCGCTGCCGGCCGACCAGCGAATGAACGAACGAACGAAGAACTACCTACACACGACTCTCACTTACTAAGCTAGAGCACAGCAAACCACAGCACACCACAGCACAGACAGTGCAGTCAGTACACCAACATGCCGCAGACATACACACACATACATATACGCCGTTACAGACAGCAGGCAGGCAGGCAGTCTTCCCCCCGGCCGTCAGTGCAGCTTCTCGTCAGCGAACCAGCCGTGGGGGGCCCTTACGGGGTCCCCGGCTCCTCCGTCGTAGGCTCCTGCGTGGGGGCTTCCGTCGGAGCCGCCGTCGGCTCCTCCGTGGGGGTCCATTTGCAATCGGCACACGTGACGGCCTTCAGTGCGTTGACCTGGCCCCCCGTGACGCACAGGCCCTCGAGCGAGTCCATCTTCTCGGAAGTCGACAGAATGCGATGCTTGATGTCGCGATAGCTCTGCGCCGGATCCGTCGACCACAGAAGGGCAGCCAAACCTGAAGTCACAGACAAAGCAGCGATTGAGTGGATCGTCTAATGGGTATCACACAGACTGCAGTCCTCAGTGCTTGCGTACCAGCAACGAATGGCGTTGCCATGCTGGTGCCCTGCATTTTCGCATACTTGCCACCGGGCATCGTCGAGGCGATTCTCGTCCCCGGCGCAAACACGTCAGCGCTCTCGAGGCCGTAGTTGCTGAACCACGCCTTCTCTCCTTCCTTATTCGACGCGCCGACGCTGATGACGCTGTCCAGCTCAGATGATGCCGGGTAGCCTTTCCTGGGGCCGTCATTGTCGTTGTCGTCGTTGCCAGCCGCGGCGACGAAAAGCATGTTCGCCTCCTCTGCCTTCCTGATGGCCTCCTCGAGCCCTGGATGTGCTCTAGACCCAAGGGAGCCCCAGCTGTTGCTTGTGAGCGTGGCCCCCATGGCAACGGCATAGTTGATTGCGTGGACCGCGTCAGCAGTGTAACCCCGACCATCCTGATGTAGCCGCACACAGACATGTGATTTCAGCGCCCCGCGCCCCTATGTTTACTCGACCTACCTCGCCGCAGAGGAATTTGAGTGCCATGATCTTGGTTCTGCCAAATGCGACGCCTGCGATGCCCTCCTGGTTGTTGGCAGTCGCCGCGATGGTACCTGCACAGTGAGTTCCATGGCCACCCTCATCCATAGGATCGCCGTCGCCAATGTGCGGGTTCTCGGATCCGTCGCACCAGGCCCAGCCGTGAATGTCATCAACAAAGCCGTTACCTGCACACAGACACATACAGACCAAGGAATGCATGCAGATCGTGTGTGTGAATGTCTCTTCCTGCATCCTCCCTCCCTCCCTCCCTCCCTCGGGACCTACCGTCGTCATCGATGCCGTTGCCAACGATCTCGCCTTGATTGACCCACATGGCGTCCTTGAGGTCCGGATGGGTGTAGTCGACACCGGTGTCAATCACCCCGACCACCGTACCTTTGCCCACTGAGTCGGCCCCACTGTCCGTCTCCTGCTGCTGCTCAGACAGGAAGGCCCACGCCTCGGGCATATCGATGCTGGCCATCCCCCACTGCTCCTTGAAGATTGGGTCGTCGGGCACGAAGCGGTTGGGCTCCTGTGCTGCCCGGGCGCGCAGCCTTCGGCCAGAGGCCGTCGCAACAACGGCATCCGGCTCGCAGATGTCGATCTCATCCGACGCCAGGAGGGCAGCCTCGCATGTGGCCGCTGCATCGACACCTAGCGGCAGATCCACCACGTCCATGGACAAGCTGTTGAGGTGGTGGACCGTCGTCTCAGCCGTGTGCACGGTGGTCTCGGCTGACATGGAGGCCTGCAGTGCCCTCGAGATGGTCTCTGCGCGGGCAAGGCCCTCGGTGTGTGGGTGCTTGAGCTTGACGATGATGCGGTGGATGCCAGCTGCAGCAGCTGGACGCGGTGGCGGACTGCTGAGCGCACGGACACTCGGCTGGTCGTTGGCGGCTCCATCACTCACCAGGCTGAATGTGCTGTAGGAAACCACGGGCGTCTTGTTTGCAGAGGGCTGACAGGCCACCAGGGACAGGGCGACCAGCAGAGTCCACACGATTCCCGCAAGCTGAGCCATTGCCGACAGTGAATAACAAGACGATAGAGAGCGATGATCAAGTCGTCGGTGAAGGATGACGGTGATGATGCGAAGAGAGAGGGCGTGGGAAGCGGGAAGTAGGTAGGGTGGAAGGTGGGAAGTGAAGATCTGGGACGATACCTTGCCTGACCGATGGAGGGATAGATAGAGGGATGGATGGAGGGATGGAGAGGAAGCCCTCCCTCCCTCCCCCTCCCTCCCTCCCTCCCCTAACTCTCAACTCCCTGTGAAACCACTGTCGATAGGTTTCTTGCCATGGGTTAGGGCAAGAGGGGAACGCAGGGAGGCCAGGGGAGGACGCAGGCATCGGCATTCTCCGCAGATCTTATCCTTGCTTCGTCCGCAGCTCACATCTTTCCTCCCCTCCTTCCTATCATTCGTCTTCCTTCACGTCTTCCTTCTGCAACGACCGATTGTGATGATGAAGTGTGGTGCGGTCGTGGTGTGTGCGCTGGCTCTCCTGGCGGCTTGTGTGCCCCTCGCAGCTGCGAACCAGTGTCCGTTTCGGGAGGAGGCTCACCCTCACTGCCCCCCCGGCTTTATGTATGACCAGGCGGCTCACAAGTGCCTCAAGCCGTTCCGCCACGAGCCACACTACTACTGTTTCGAGCAGGTAGGGACACACGCACACACACACACACACACTGGACGTTTTGACTCATCTGTGTCTTGCCTGTCTGTCTGTCTGTCTGTCTGTGTGTCTGTCTGCCTGCGTGTGTCAGGGTTATGTGGTGGAGGGCGATCGGTGTGTCCAGGACCATTACGCTGATCTTATTGAGTACTGCAGAGCCGAGTACCAGGACGCGACTCTCATCCCCGGCGAGAAGTGCCTTGAAAAGGTCACGGTCCCACCCGAGAACTCGTGCCCTCCGGGCTATCGGCTGACTCAAGACGGCAGCAGGTGCTTCAGCAAGTGCGAGTACTCTGGGAAGATCGTGTATTGCCCGGTCAAGCCCTATTGCCCTGACGGCACAATGGACGAGGACACCCAGCAGTGCCACATATACAAGAGCCACCCGGTGGACTTCACCTGCCCTATCGGCTTCAAAATATGTGACGCCAAGTGCGTCCTCAAGTACTACGCAGAGAGACTGTAAGCAGCGCAGCACAGGGAAGGGCTCATCCATCCACCCATCCATCCATCCATCCATTGTCCCCACGTGGGTGTGTCGATCAGGCATTCGTGTCCGGATGGCTTTGAGTTCAAGCGTGGCGCCGAGCTGCCGCCGGTGTTGGGTGTCGGCCCAGCCGAGGAGACGTGCATCAGGTGCGACCACGCGCCCGTCCAGTACCACTGCAACAGGGGAGACCTGCAGTGGATCAACTCCAAGCCCGTCTGCTGCCTGTAGACATGGGAGCCACCGCTCTATCTCTGTCTGTGTCTGTGTGTATGTGTGGGTGACTGACTGACTGACTGACTGTTGTGCTCGTGGATGGTTCGTGTGAATCATCGTGTGTCTATCATATGTCTCCTGGCTGTCTCTGTGGCTGCGTACATACAAACACGCTAGTAGCGTCTTTCTTTGTCACCGTGATTTTTGCTGGCTGCCGGCCTGATGCGCACACTGCGTGTGCGCGACCGGTGCGGTGCAAGCTGTATTAGTCTCGTGATTGACGAATAGTTTTTAACGGTGCGTGTGGCGTGTCGCGCCTGTTAGTTGATTTGATCTGACTGCGTACCGTCTGTCTTCGTGTAAGTGCATGTGTTGATGTCAACAGTGAGGGTCTTCGTGTTGATGTCGCCTGCGCTGTTCTTTGTTAAGTCGTCGGTGCACCGAGCTCTGACGCGATCTGACGTGATGTGCCCTGACTGAGTGCTTCGTTGTCTTTGTTTGTGCTGTGCTGTGCTGTGCCGTGCTGTGATCTGATCTGCTGATTCTTTGTTAATAGCTAGGAAGTGGCTGCACTCACTGCATCTGATGTGTGTCTGTGCGTGTGCGCGGTCTATGTGTACATATCCATTCCATGACGGGGGGGACGGGGGGGGAGGGGGTGGGAGGGACAAGAGACAGACCCACGAGAGACACATGCCGTGCCGACCATCACGTCAAGTGAATGACATCATGATGGCATGACTGACACATGTGCCGAATTGTATGTATGAGAGCGAAATGTGCACAGCACGCGGCTCGCGACACCCATTGCCACAGCACACAAACATTGTCTGTCGCACAACTCAAATGCCATTCATACTGTCATTCCCTCCCCTCATTGAAACGAGAAGCATGTCGACCTGCCCCTCTAAGTCATGGCCATCGGAGCAGGTCGTCTGACTCTCTGAGGCGTCAGCTCGGCCAGAAAGTGAGGAAGGCCGGGCGGGCCTGATTGCTTCTCTGATGACTATTGACTTATTTCACTGCAAGGATTCCCTGCATGGGCTCTGAGGGAAGCCATTCCAAGCGGATGATGGTTGGAGTTGCCGGCAGCGATTTGAGTGTGGTAATCCATTCATTCACTCATTCGTTCACCCCTGTGGCTCCATTTGCAGTTGATGAATCCATCCCGTTGCCAACACATGATGTCACTCCCCACAAACACGAAAACACGATGTGACAACACGACGTACATATGTGTCATTCTTGCACGCTGTTGGGTGCGAGATGACGATGTGTCTGTGTGTTGCACGCCACACACGGAACAAAAGTGATGATCGATTGATGGACATGTGCATTCTATCGCTTCAATAAATATGGTGGTTGCCCTTATTCCCCTACCTCACTATATAGAACCCAACACAACACGTACGCAAGGCACCCAGACAGAACAGCACAAGGCACTGCCTACGGGAGAATAGGCTCAGACAGACGACACGACACGGCACAACACGACGTACAGGAACAGACGAGGATGCCATAGTCACGGCCATCCATTATGCACCTCACCCACAACACTCAGAACAGCACTGGGTGAGGCAGTCGAGTGCAGTCAGCAGTTGGTGCCGTCGAAGCAGCAACACTCATGCAGCTCCTGCCGCTTCTGCGCGCGAGCGTGGTAGAAGTCGGCCGACGCGGCGACCGCCGTGTACATCCCGTTGGCGGCAGTCTTACAGGCGAACAACAGGGGGCCGAATGTCACGGCTCTTTCACATTCGCTGATAAGGCCCGCACGGAAGGCGTCGTTGCACTGATCGGCAACCGAGCCTGGGAAGCAAAGGAGGCCATGAATTACAGCACACATGTCCAGCGATTCCTCTCCCCGTCCTACCCAGCGTATAGTAGCAGCGGTCGTGTTCGTTGCACACCTCTGTGAAGTCGACGCTACCCCATGTGTCCGGCACCCCATTACAACCATTGGGAACCTGTACTCACAGACAAGCGCAGTTTGGGGTCACGTACTCGCTTTGTCTTCGTTTAAACTCTTACCCGTGCATAGGGAGAGCTGCAAGGCGCTCCCAAAGTGTCGCACGGGTCCAGGCGCCTGATGCTAGTGTGATTTCCGCCGGCAGCCACCGACAGGCCAACCACCAGGAAAACGATGATGTGGCTGACAGATACGACGGGAAGATACGTGAGTAAGCTGGAGGTTCTGTTGTGTGTGTTGTGAGGAGTGTACCTGCTTCCCGACATCTCAAGTGGTGACGCGTGTCACTGAGAAAACCGACAGAGGATCTTTGTCGTGCGACGCGTAGGAAAGCAAAGACACTGGAGTGCGAGAGGAGAGGGAGTGCGCGAGAAGAAAGCCAGAAGGGGAGAAACCCTGAAAGGAAGCAAGGGTTTAGGGTTGCACAAACTTAGGTTTCAGGAAGCACCCTAGGCGGCCAGGACGGTGCACGCAGAGGGCAGATGCAAGCAGAGGGCAGATGCAGCAAACAGGAGGACATGCAATGCGCTGCGAAGAGACCAGACCGGATTTGGCGAGCTTGAAGCCAAAAGATCGTTGCGGATTGCGTCGACAGCCTTGGAGGGGAGGGACTGCCACCCTCGACAGATTTTGCGGGAGCTGATCTGTTGAGCCGAAGATCTCCCTATTGACCGTCAGCATGGCTGCCCCTCGCCTCTGCTGCCAACGTCACTCACCCTCTAAAGCCCCCGACGACATCGATGCTATTCGCCCACGATGGACTGCCTTGCCATCGAGGTCTGTCATTGACGTCCTCGACTTGGCCACCCCTGCATCACCTACGGCAGAGAGGAACGGCAGCGGCGATTGTTTGCTCCCTTCCAAACAGCCGCCATCACACCAAGTGAGCCAAGTGAGCCTTGCTGTCGGCGACCAAGATCCCAGCCCCTCTTCGTGTGGACATGACGCCACGCAGTTCCCTGGCAAGTACCTGGTGATGGACGTCGGCGGGAGGTTGCGGGGCAAGGACCGGCAAGTCAGGTTCTATCTTCCTGACGTGCCCGCCAAGATGTGCTTCTACTATATATCGCTGTGTAAGAACCAAGGAGGGAGGAGGGGGAGCGTTGGCCGAAAGAGCTTCTGCTGTTTGTTGTGTTATTCGTGCAGTCTTGGCGGGTCTGTGGATGGCTGCGTTGGGAGTGGGCACTCTTGTCGTTGCCCCTGAGTTGAAATGGGCTGGCCTCTACGCTACGAGTGGCATTGGTGGGTTCCAACCACTGAGTTGAGCTCCCAGTCATTCTCTGCTCTTGTTCGCTGATTGTTTGCGTGTTGGTTTGCAGTGGGAGACCCCCTGTTGCCAGCTTTTTGCAACCTGTTTTATTTCCCTATGGGACATACAAGAACCTGGCTGTCCAATGCGTGGCAATTATGTATGGCGTCATGACGATGGCTGGCATCCTGCTCTACGCACGTGAGCAGGGAAGCGAGGGTATGCCTTCGTATCTCCTCATCTGCCTCTTTCCTTCCGCATGTGTGTGCAGCGTTTGGCTACGCGGCATCGCTGATTCTCGTGTGTATTGAAATGGCACTCTGCGCGCCCGTTTTTGCCCTCATTGCCGAGCCACGATTGTTCACAAGTGAGGAGGTGCTGAAGACCAATTTGTGGCTGCCGGCCAAATTCAGCTTGATGGATGTCCCTCACACACGCATGCTGACGACATCGGAGCATATGTGGGCGGAACAAAATCGGCTGTTCTCTGTGCTCCGGAAGTATGTGCCTTGCATGAAGGCGATGGACGCGCTAGACTTTTGTCGACTGCTTAAGTCTATTACTTATCTGCTCACCATTGTGGACTACATTTCAGACCTGGGTAAGTGGGCGGGCAGCCGCGCATAACATATTATTCGTTAATGAGTTTTTCTTGTCGTCTGTGCAGCTGTGGGAATGGGCATGATTACTCATGGCGTGGTGTTGCCTGGAGTGGCAGTTCTTCTCCTCTGCCAAGTGGACACGATCAGTGCGGCTATCGCTTACGGCATTCGAACAAGGGCGACCTATGGCAGCACGCATCTCTTTTTGCGGCGTCGCTACTCGAGGTGCCCATCCTGGTTCTGACCATCCTGTACGGAACACAGTCGACTGACCGCGTGACCACCGCTATCTCGATCACGGCCACAACCTCGACAATAGCCATTAAAGGGGGCGCTACGCTCCATACGATCATCGTGAAGCGGCTTCGAGGCATGACAGCCAAGGTGAGCAACACGAAGCCGAAGCCGAAGATAAGCAGAACCCGCGAGACGATCTGCCCGAGGGCTACATGGGAGTGAGGGATGAAGATGGCGATGTTGTGTTGGGCGGGTCGTATGAGTTCATGGCTGACGAGATAGAAGTGGTTCGTACGGTGCAGTAGCCAGGGAGGGAGGGAGGGAGGGAGGGAGATGTGCCTTTCCCTCCGTGCTGCACTGACATAAATGGGCGCCATCCATTTGTGCCGTCCTCTGCGCCCCTCCCTGTCTGTCTGTCTGTCTGTCTGTCTGCTTCCCTGCCTCCACATCTGAGTGTAGCTGATCTGCCGGCACACTGCTGGTGCCCCTGTGTGTGTGTATTGGTGTGTTTGTTTGTTGAAGTGAGTGTGTGCGCGGTGGCTGGACTGACTGTAATGACTGAGTGACTGTGGCTGCCTGTGTGTTTGTCGTCATCCTGCCCTGATGTGTTTCTGCGAATGTGTGTGTGTGTGTGTGTGTTGAGTGAATGACAGCCGGCAAGACAGCTGCAAGACTTACGTGGACTCGCTGGAAGTGCGATGAGCTCCCATGGGTGATTTGATGAATGGGCCAATGATACAGTCGGCCGATCGGTGAGTGCATTTTGTCGCTTCACATGCAAGGAATCCTCGCGCAGCCAAAAGTGGACAGCCGCCAATGAGTTCATCCACTCAACAAACGCAAAGGTGCTGCACACACAGCTCTATTCACCAGCATACTCTTCTCATGTGAATCGGCTTTGGCTGCCCTTCGTCCCTTCTACACACGAATGTGATGTGTAATGTCTGTCATTTCGACGGCTAATCCAATAATCCGAGAACAAAGGCAAGACACATACAACCATCCACGCGTGGGCTACCCGCCGCCCCTCCTCGCTGCCATTTCTGTTAGGAGCTGTTCGCGCGCTGCCTCACACGACAGATGGGCCGCCTCCAACCCACCACGCCACACATACACACCGTCACGCCCATACGCACCGTGGCGATCAGACACAACACCGCCACCGTCACCATCTGCAGACCTTGCTGGATGAGTGTCTGAAGGCCTCTGCTGCCCGAAGAGTGCCGAAGAGATTCGTTGGATGAGGGTTGGGGCTGGCGGTGTGGGGGGCGCTTCAGGCGGCATTGAGGGGTCGCTGTCGATGAAGTCCAGCTGAAAAAGACAGTCGGTGAGCCTCTCAGTGATCTCATCCAGACGCTGCCACACACACAGCACATACGAGAGCACTTGTGGATGGCTGGGTGGGTGGCTGTGCATTCGCTGTCGCTTACTCTTGCGTCTCGGTAGACGTGCTGTGTGTCGGGGATGTTGACCTGGCTCTCCACCGTCTTGACAATCTCCACAGCGTTCCAGGGGCCGTCGTGGTCCAGCAGCCCCGGCTCGCCAGACTGGCTGTACGGACACAACACCTGCATATACACATCCAGCCAAACACACACAGAGGATACACACCTCCCCCGCGTGTCCCTCAATCCTCACACACAAACCTGCATGAACGGCGACAGGCCGGGGGGGAATTTCTTTCTGTGTGTGTCGGGCACGTCGCTGCCGGCCAAATCGACCGCCACCACAGCCACGGGCAGGTTTTGGCTCCTGAACAGCCTGGCGAGGTCGACCAGCAGCGGCAGCAACGCGTAGGTGCCGAAGACGTCACGGTGGAAGAAGACGATCAGCGAGTGCAGGGGACGCTCTATCACGTCAACCAACGCCCTGTGCACAAACCGATCAGCACACACACAGATGCCGGTTATGGGTCCGTCCGTGAGTGCGTTCCGTACCTGAAGGGGACGATGGCGAACTCAGGGACGCGGAACAGCCGCAGCAGCTCCTCAGACTCAGACGCCAAGCTGGCCCGTGCCTTCTCGTCCAGCCGTGGCAGCAACGTGGCCACGAGGGCGAAGGGAGCGCTCAGCATGGCCAGAAAGGTCAGCCACGGGAAGGCAGCGAAGAATACCTGAAGGAGGCAACACATGCCTGTAACTCGTGTCGGCTATCCGGATCGTGACATTGGCCTTACCTGGAATCGTTGTTCCTCTCTCGTAAGCTTGTCGGGCTCGACGAGGAAGCGCGAAGGGTCCACTGGAGGCAAATACCGATCAACAGGGCCACCTGCACACACAATGGATGTGCGAGTGTGTCAGATGTTTCATCAGTGGCAGCCACCTGGGTAGATCTGAATGCCGCGTCGCCTCCTCTGCATGAGCACTCCCTCCTCTGCACGCGAGACCGCGCCCTCATCCTGACCAGCACACCGCCAACGCCAGCATTGTTTAGTGTGGCGGTGCAGCCATTCGTGCGTCCGTCTGCTGCGTTGCTCTCACCATGCCAATGATGAGTCGCTCCGTCCGGCCGTCATCTTCCCTCTCGATTTTCCTCTCGTCCACCGCCCGGTGACCACCCTCTTCCACCACACTCACGTCATCACTCCTGCGGCTGCTGCTGATGCGGCTGCTGCTGTCATGTTTCCCCTCCTCTCTGTGTGCAGTTGACAGGTGCCGCGCACAACTCGGGGATGAGAGGGCAGATCTGCATAAAGGGAGTTGCAGCGATGGGAGGAGGAGAGGGGAGGGACATGCAGGAGGGACCAGCCGGCTGGCAAAACGATGCATGTAGGGGGGGAGGAGGAAACTGCAGGGTTTTGTGGGGTCAAGGGTTTCATCGGCCAGGATCCCGACGACGGATCTATGTATAACTCCTCGCAGGGTGTGATTCGCTTGTAACGCGTCAGCTCATGACTTACGTGGAGTCCAACAGAGGAATGGTTCATAGGTGAACACAACTTAGAGGTTAGGGTTTGGGGCTCAGGGTTGCTTACCCTACACCCTG